CCTGCGGACCCTCTTCTGCTTCGTTGTTGGGACCTCTGAACCTGCACATGTATGTGAACCAGACCCTTCTGCCTGGAGTACTTTCTGCCAACAGGCCCTTTGAGACCAGCAGCTGCCTGGAGGAAGATGAGCTGGAGAACGAGACAAGCTGCAGTCAGCCTTCCATGAGTATGTGTGGCGTGATGACGTCTGTTTTGTACCCTGTAACAAAGCGGTAGGGCTAGGTAATGATTTTGTGTTGATTTCCAGCTACGGAGAGTTCGGAGTCTTCGCAGTGCATGTCTGGAGGCGGCTCCAGTGGATCGGATAGCGGCTGCGTCTCTGGAATTCCCCAGGATAATCTTTCGGAAGATGCTACCTCTCCCTGCGACGCCTCAGCGCAGTACACCTTTCCTGAGAGGAGGAACAGTTCCGGCGTTCTCTCCCCGGTGGTGGAAAAATCCAGGTTCCTCAACCGACAGTACATTTCTGCAGTAAGTACTTCTTCCTTGTGTCATTGTCGCACATACGGTATATAGCAAAATCATTTTGGTGACTCCTGACATCATTTAGCCCTTTCGCTGCCAGAGCCGTTTTTGCATTTTTTTTTTTTTTTGCACACACGTTTAAAAAAAATCATTTTAGGCACAAAACCTCCAAAGAAGATATATTTTCTGAAAGCAGAGACCCGAGAGAATAAAATAGCGGTAGTTCCAATTTTTTATGTCACTCGTTATTACCGCGAAGGTCTAGCAAACAAAATTCCAGTTAAAAAAAACCCCACACTAAAGTGAATTTTAGAGCAATCAAACACAATACATTACCCACAATTATGGTAAAATATAAATAGTGAGGTTGCATCGAGTAAATAGACACCCAACATGCCAAACCTTAAATTTGTGGCGGCAAACTTCAGTACCCCGTATTTTCTATAGACGACGCTTCAAACGCCCCCTACAGGTCATAAGTGTAGTGTTATGGAGGAGATCTGCTGCTAGAATTCTTGCTCTCCTGGCGTGTGTATTGCAATAGACTTTTTTATGCACAGGCCCTCCGACGCATACATTTACGTTCGTATGGGGCCTTGAAAAAATAATTTTTTTTTTTCGGGGGGAGGATAGAAGCTGTGTGCAACTTTTTTTTTTTTTCGCAAAAAAAAAATTTTTCTTGCGTATCTTTCTTTTTTTTTTTTTTTTTTTTTTTTTTTCCAGCACGTAGTAGACAAAATTTTCCCTGTGTTACGATTTTTGGTAACAGGTTCTCTTTGAAGAGATATGCGACCTTTAATTTCTCCTCTGGGTTCCACTCAATGTAGATCACCTTGCATGTGTCCGCTCTCCTGCCTCCCCTCCAAAGTTTAAGTTTACCCCGAGCTACACTAAGGAATACCGCCTGGGGGGTTAAAGTTTCAGCACCACAAGCGGTGACCCCCCCCGAGCTACACTCGGGAATACACTGCAGCGTTGCTCCGGGATCCCTCCAGCACTTACCTTGTCCTGCGCTCTCCCCGCGATGTCCCTCCTGCAGTGTCCCCAGCAATGTCCTCCGGCCGATGACGGCATCTGTCTTCTGGGTTCCGTTCCCTGCGACGTCGGGACGTACGGGGGACGGAACTGGCGGGAAATTCAAAAATGTGTAAAAGTGACATTCACAAAATACACTAAAATCACATAGTATTCCATTGCTGTATCAAACCATTTCACATACATTGTGTCCCGAGTGCTTTGTCCGGCACCCTACCTGCATTTTTACCGTTCTTTCTGCCTGGAAACTGAGAAACGTCCATGGCGTCCAAAAAGCGTCCCTTTAGGTCAGACGCGGTTTTAGACCGGCTAGAGAACAGCGATAGTAAATCAGAACCACTTGCAGAATTGAGTGATAATGATTGGTGGGGAAATTCCTCATCAGACACTGAAAACGATTCTGCGACTGAGCTCAGCGATGTGCCAACTTGGCGCTCTATTTCACATTTCAGTGTTTTTGGTTTGATTATATTATTGAATTACATTTATTATTATATTATTATTTTTTATGATTATTATATTATAATTTATGATTTCGTGTTTCAAATTTTATCATCCCCGGGATGATTACTAGACTCTTGTTCGGACAGATTTCAGTGAGTTATTCCTAAAAATTACAGGCCTGCAATAAAAAAATACATATTTCCATGCAAAATAATGTACCGCTTTGAGCACAGAAATACTGACATAATCAGACCGCTAGGGAGGCTACTGACCGTGCAAAGAAAGCAAGGAGGTACCAAAATGGATGTTCAGGTCTCATTTGTGTGTCATTATCACCTGTAAATATCAATCCGATGATAAACTGATTTATAGAAGTGATGAATGCTGTATATTGGGGATGTGATGTCCAGGCAGTGTTCCCTCCATCGTTGTGTGTTGTAGTCCTGTGTGTGAACCACGTTGCTGTTTATTACAATTGTATAATATAACCATTCTCCTCTCCTGGCAGCACCATGTAACAGTACAAGTCCTCCTGCACACAGGACGGTTTTACAGCGGCTGTTTTTGGCTTTTGACTTTTTTTTTACAGTCCGTAACCCCCCAGCATGTTATCCTCGGTGTCCATACACACAGAGACTGGAATCAACCTTTTTTGGCTGGAAAAAAACCCCAGGACTAGTGGGGTTTCTAGAGTTTTTTTTTTTAGCTGTACAAACGCTCTAACGCGGTAAAACGCCGCAAACTGGTGTTTTTGGACGTTTTTGTTTTTTTTTTACAGCCAGTAAACCCCCCCAGCATGTTATCTTAGGTGTCCATACACAATGTAATCAATGTTTTTTTTTTTTTTTGGCTGGAAAAAACCCCGGACTAGTGGGATTCTACAGGGTTTTTTAGCTGTAAAAACACTGTAAAACTTAGCAAACTGGATTTTTTTGGAAGTTTGTTTGACCCCCCAAAAATTTTTTTTTTGTAAAAAAAAAAAAAACCCCCCATTAAATGCTAATGCAAAAATGCCAAAAAAAAAAGCTGAAAAACTCACGTTTTTAGTGTGACTTTACAGCCAGCGTTACCAGCATTATCAAAACGTCCCGTGTGCATGAGGACCAAAAGGATGCATTGCTGACCGTTCCTAACGCCTCCGTCTGAACGCACCACTTTAATTTTCAGGGGCTGAAGTCTAACTGCTCACTAATAGCTGCTTCTCTCCTCAGAATCAAAGCCACATTTCCCTCAGTCCTTCCACCATTGTCTGATCTTCTTCCTAAAACCCGTATTCCAGTAAGTGCTCCTTTTCTGCTTTTATCTGACTGGTATGGCGTCCTCTTCTTGCACCAGACTCTATCCACGTGTTTTTCTGTTACCATTTTATCTGTTTCAGGTACTTATATAGCGCCCAGGGGTGGACTGACCATTTGGAAACTCAGGCACGGCCCGGGGTCAGTAGGGGGCCCCATGAGATGCCCCTGGTACCTTTTTCATAGGCTTTTTAGAGTTTGGACACAGGGCCCCATGATCCCCTATTGCCCGGGGGCCCCCATTGTCAGTCCGCCCCTGATAGCGCCATCAATTTACTCAGCGCTTTACATATATATTATACATTCACATCAGTCCCCGCCCCCGAGGAGCATACAATCTAAGGTCCCTAACTCACATTCATACATATACTAGGGACAATTTAGACAGGAGCCAATTCACCTCCCAGCATGTCTTTGGAGTGTGGGAGGAAACTGGAGTACCTGGAGGAAACCCACGCAGGCACAGGGAGAATATGCAAACTCCAGGCAGGTGGTGCTGTGATTGGGATTCATGGACCCTATTGGCCACTGCTGAGGGCCTATAAATATCAACAATGTGTAGCCGGGGGCGCTGCCTTTGCTGATTACACACTATTGATGGTTTACATGTCCGTTCTGAATCGGCACGTGGGCAGAATGACCTCAACCGATTCTGAATATCTGAGGCCAAGGTCGTCTTGCGCATGTGCCGCCACCGTGTGAAAGGGCTCATTCAGGGCTGACGTATGCAAACATCAGAAGTGTGTGATCCGCAGTGGCGTTATCACTAGCTACACATTGCTGTTTAAATGTCGGCCCTGAGCAGCGGAGGTGACCAATAGAGGGTCCATGTACAATGTAAACGCACCACAACATGGCTGGCTGAAAAAAAGACAAAAGTCTTTCCAGTTCAGACTATTAAAAAAAAAAAAAAAAAATTATAATCCTACACCCACAGTTGATCCAGAGGAAGGCAAAAAAAAAACCCAGCAAAGCACGATCCAATTTGCTCCTGCAGGGGAAAAAATTCCTTCCTGATCCCCCGAGAGGCAATCGGATATTCCCGGGATCAACTTTCCCTATAAATGTTATATCCAGTTATATTCTGTGTATCCAAGAAAGAATCCAGGACTTTCCTACAGCAATCCACTGAGCCGGCCACAACCAACTCTCGAGAAGCGCTGCACTTTGTGAGTGGCCCCGTAGTCTTCTGAGACCTGTCACGTGTCCCAGAAGACTACGGGGGAGGACGACTTCCGATTGCACCACAAGTGGGAGAGGGGACCTATCAAATTTGGGTACCCACTCCCCAAAGGTGCCAATCCTTAATGGGGAGCGGGGGACAAAGCATTAAAACAGAACTTCCCCTCTTGGGTGGAGCTCTGCTTTAACAAAAGTGCTTGAGGCTTTCTGTACAGACACACCACTCTCACAACCTGAACTCGGCCATTTAAAGCGGAGAGTTCCGCTCCCGCTGTCAAAAAATAAGTCAGAAGCTACAAAAACTGTAGCTGCGGACTTAAAAGAGAGCCACTTACCTGTCCCTTGGTCCTGGTGGTGTGTCCCCTGCAGCCCATTTCACCGGCCGTTCTGTATTCCAGGAGGCCGGCATCTTCAGTGTGGGCACCTGGCTGTGATAGCTTGCGGCTTCACAGCCGGGTACCCACTGCGCATGCGTGAGTATCGCTGCACTTCATGAATGGTCCTGTAGTCTCTTCTGGGACCGGTCACATGTCCCAAAAGACTACAGGGAGGGAGGACACCGTACGCTTCCAATCGTCTAGGCCAGGGGTCTCCAAACTATGGCCCTCCAGGTGTTCAGGAACTGTAAGTCCCATGAGGCCTTGCAAGACTCTACCTCTGGGAGTCTTGCCTGAGGCAGTCAGAGGCATGATGGGACTTGTAGTACTTCAACAGCTGGAGAGCCATAGTTTGGAAACCCCTGGCCTAGGAGATTGGACTGGAAGTGGGAGCTGGTACATGTCTAATTTGGGTACCCGCTCCCCAAAGGTGCCAATCCTTAATGGGGAGCAGTCCTTAAAGCGGAACTTCCCCTTTTGGGTGGAGTTCCACTTTAAGTTCAAGAAGTGGATGAAAAACACTTACCTTCTTCTTGAACAATGAAGTAACATCCCATCTATTCAGGGGTCAGACTGGAGGTGGAGCAGTGACACTGGAAGCTACAGAAGCAATGATGGGTGTCACCGGTCTCATTGTACAGCGCAGCGACACAGTGCCCTCCATGATTGGCTGGACAGATTTACAAATCCTTTGGCTTACATAGAGACTGATGTTTTCACAACTTGGAGATGAGTTCAATGGTTCAGAGAAAAAAACACAAACTTACCTGCAATGTAGAATCCGCGATATTTGTGTATGGTGTTTAAATGCTAAATGGTTCGCACTTCCGCCTGGCAGTACTCGGGTCGTTGGTTCGATTCCCAACCACGGCACCACCTGTCTGGAGTTTGCGTGTTCTCCCTGTGCCTGCGTGGGTTTCCTCCGGGTACTCCGGTTTCCTCCCACTCTCCAAAGACATGGTGGGAGGTTAATTGGATCCTGTCTACATTGTCCCTAGTATGTGTATCTATGAATGTGAGTTAGTCCCTAACCCTCAAGGGGCGTACAATCTAAGGTCCCTGATGTGAATGTACAATATATATGTAAAGCGCTGCGTACATTGATGGCGCTATAGAAGTACCTGAAATATTAATAATAAATCTCTCACTCTTCCTCTTTCGTAGGTATGAACAGGTTTCCAGTTATCAGAGATTTGCCTGATTTGAACTCCATCCTCCGTCTCCCGACGACATTTCTATGTTCTAACAGCCTCATCAGCGACTTGTTAATGTGTAATATTTCTCTATTCCTGTATATAGTTTTTACACCAGGCAGACGCCGCGCTGTACGGCCCGGTGGTGAGTTTTCCCGTTAAGCTGCACAGTTTGTAAAGTTTTTTGGATAAGACATTTTTGCAAGATATGTATTTAAATAACATTTTATGTCATTTTTCACGTTGAACTGGAATTTGATGTGTCTTATTTTGTTATAGTTCTTTTTTTTCTCCCCCAACTAGAAATAATTTATTTACTGGAGATGATCATTAAATCTGAATAAACAGATTTATTTCAGTTCTTGCACGTTTGAGTTTGCAGGTTATTAGTAACTTTTTATAAATGCCATCGTGTGGTGAGACGGGATTGATGCTTCATTTGTCTGTCAGTGGGGCCAGTCTTGCACCTGTGCAGACACTGCCAATCAGGCAAATAGATCATTGAGGAATGGATCCTTGTTCTGACAAAATCCACATGGGGTGTGTCTACATGAGACGTAAAATGCATGCACAGAGCCCGTCACATCGCTTGCTGTCTTTTTTACAGATATACCTTCCATGAACTCAGGGCAAAAACGCACTTTGGTTCATATTACTGCGCCCCCCCCCCCCCCCCCCCCCAAGCCGATATTAAAGCTGAATTCCAGGAATTCGGCCATTAAGTGCACACACATAGAATAAGTTCAGGAGAGGTCATGCACCTCCTTGGATTTAACTCATAATGTTATTTATATCTGACAGTTTTATAGTTCTGCTGGAGAATACACTGACACTAGGGTATGGGTGTCAAACTGGCAGCCCTCCAGCTGTTGCCAAACTACAAGTCCCGTGAGGCATTGCAAGATTGACAGTTACAAGCATGACTCTCAAAGGCAGCGGCCTGATGGAAATTGTAGTTTCGGAAAAGCTGGAGGGCCGCCAGTTTGACACACCTGCACTAGGGGTTGCGAGAGGCACACAGAGCCCCTCTGTTGCCCATTCACAGAAGCCTTTGTATTATGTGAATGAGTTCACATAATACAAAGCCTTCTGCGATTGGGCAGGGGGAGGGGCACCCACTCTAATGCTGAAGATACGTAGACCTGGAGCATCAGCGTTGGGCTCCCAGAAATACAGCGATAGCCATCTTCCGGGAGAGCAATAAAACTGTCAGACGGAAGTAGAGATAAACCCAGGAGATGTAATGCCGCTCCTTGGACCTCTTTTTACAAAGGAACTGAATTCCTGGTATTCAGCTTTTAACTTTTTTTTCAATCCTGACACTCTTCCTGGTATAGAAGAGCATGGGCCTTGCTCAGCCTTCTTCTTCTCATTAAGACATGGATGACTGGCCTAGTGCTGGGCTGGTGTTAGGCCTGGAGGAAGAATCGGGGTCAATGTATTTCCTTTTATGTTTTCAGAAGAAGTACCAGGACTTCTTCTCTGCATGTCACGGGAGTCCACTCAAATGAATGGGCTCTCATGCCCATGCGGAACGCAGATATGTGACGCAGGGGTTAGCACTCCAAAGAAGAGGTAACATTGGAGCTGCACTCAGGGGTGTATGTTGAGTAACCCTACATTTTCAGACTGCCAAAGGGGAACCAAAGTTACAGTCAAGCTCCTGTACGTCTCTTGATGTACTAAAACTAGGGAGTGCACAATCTGGAGCAGCTGTTCAAGGAAGCCAATCGGATTCTAGCTTTACTTGTTCAATGAAGATTTGATAAAACCTGGAAGCTGATTGGTTTCTATGCAAAGCTGCACTCTCCAGTTTTAGTAAATCAACCCTTATGTCTCTAGGACAGGGGCGTCAAACTGGTGGCCTACCAGCTGTTGCCAAACTACAAGTCCCATCATGCCTCTGCCTTTGGAAGTCATGATATTGTACAAGCATCAATCTTCCAAAGGCAAACTACAAGTCTCATGAGGCATTGCAAGATTGACAGAAGCATAAGTCCCAAAGGCAGAGGCATGATGGGACTTGTAGTTTCACAAAAGCTGGAGGGCCGCCAGTTTGACACCCATGCTCTAGGGAGTCCAGAACCCAAGGGCCATGCCATAACCAAACATCAACTTTTTGTTGATTGGTACTGGGACAGAACATCTGGTGTCCCTGCCAATGGGTTGATGAGGCGTTACCATGATAGGATAAGCCTTGCATACTGGACCTGGGCCAATGTGCACTGGACCCACAGAGGTACCAGAACCTTGTGCTCTAACACTTCACCACAGGGTCATATTAAATCAGATTGATTTCTCACAAAAAATGTGAAAAGGACAATTCCCTTCTTACAGAACAATGCCATTTTATTACACACAATTATCCACCTTGGGACAAGAAAAGAGCAGGTTCCTGGGGAATGTATAAAACGATCTCAATAAACAGAACCAGACGATCCTGCACCACACCTGACACTATCGGCTGGGGGGGGGGGGGGGGGGGGGGGGGGGGGGGGGGGGGGGGGGGGGGGGGGGGGGGGGGGGGGGGGTGGGGGGGGGGGGGGGGGGGGGGGGGGGGGGGGGGGGGGGGGGGGGGGGGGGGGGGGGGGGGGGGGGGGGGGGGGGGGGGGGGGGGGGGGGGGGGGGGGGGGGGGGGGGGGGGGGGGGGGGGGGGGGGGGGGGGGGGGGGGGGGGGGGGGGGGGGGGGGGGGGGGGGGGGGGGGGGGGGGGGGGGGGGGGGGGGGGGGGGGGGGGGGGGGGGGGGGGGGGGGGGGGGGGGGGGGGGGGGGGGGGGGGGGGGGGGGGGGGGGGGGGGGGGGGGGGGGGGGGGGGGGGGGGGGGGGGGGGGGGGGGGGGGGGGGGGGGGGGGGGGGGGGGGGGGGGGGGGGGGGGGGGGGGGGGGGGGGGGGGGGGGGGGGGGGGGGGGGGGGGGGGGGGGGGGGGGGGGGGGGGGGGGGGGGGGGGGGGGGGGGGGGGGGGGGGGGGGGGGGGGGGGGGGGGGGGGGGGGGGGGGGGGGGGGGGGGGGGGGGGGGGGGGGGGGGGGGGGGGGGGGGGGGGGGGGGGGGGGGGGGGGGGGGGGGGGGGGGGGGGGGGGGGGGGGGGGGGGGGGGGGGGGGGGGGGGGGGGGGGGGGGGGGGGGGGGGGGGGGGGGGGGGGGGGGGGGGGGGGGGGGGGGGGGGGGGGGGGGGGGGGGGGGGGGGGGGGGGGGGGGGGGGGGGGGGGGGGGGGGGGGGGGGGGGGGGGGGGGGGGGGGGGGGGGGGGGGGGGGGGGGGGGGGGGGGGGGGGGGGGGGGGGGGGGGGGGGGGGGGGGGGGGGGGGGGGGGGGGGGGGGGGGGGGGGGGGGGGGGGGGGGGGGGGGGGGGGGGGGGGGGGGGGGGGGGGGGGGGGGGGGGGGGGGGGGGGGGGGGGGGGGGGGGGGGGGGGGGGGGGGGGGGGGGGGGGGGGGGGGGGGGGGGGGGGGGGGGGGGGGGGGGGGGGGGGGGGGGGGGGGGGGGGGGGGGGGGGGGGGGGGGGGGGGGGGGGGGGGGGGGGGGGGGGGGGGGGGGGGGGGGGGGGGGGGGGGGGGGGGGGGGGGGGGGGGGGGGGGGGGGGGGGGGGGGGGGGGGGGGGGGGGGGGGGGGGGGGGGGGGGGGGGGGGGGGGGGGGGGGGGGGGGGGGGGGGGGGGGGGGGGGGGGGGGGGGGGGGGGGGGGGGGGGGGGGGGGGGGGGGGGGGGGGGGGGGGGGGGGGGGGGGGGGGGGGGGGGGGGGGGGGGGGGGGGGGGGGGGGGGGGGGGGGGGGGGGGGGGGGGGGGGGGGGGGGGGGGGGGGGGGGGGGGGGGGGGGGGGGGGGGGGGGGGGGGGGGGGGGGGGGGGGGGGGGGGGGGGGGGGGGGGGGGGGGGGGGGGGGGGGGGGGGGGGGGGGGGGGGGGGGGGGGGGGGGGGGGGGGGGGGGGGGGGGGGGGGGGGGGGGGGGGGGGGGGGGGGGGGGGGGGGGGGGGGGGGGGGGGGGGGGGGGGGGGGGGGGGGGGGGGGGGGGGGGGGGGGGGGGGGGGGGGGGGGGGGGGGGGGGGGGGGGGGGGGGGGGGGGGGGGGGGGGGGGGGGGGGGGGGGGGGGGGGGGGGGGGGGGGGGGGGGGGGGGGGGGGGGGGGGGGGGGGGGGGGGGGGGGGGGGGGGGGGGGGGGGGGGGGGGGGGGGGGGGGGGGGGGGGGGGGGGGGGGGGGGGGGGGGGGGGGGGGGGGGGGGGGGGGGGGGGGGGGGGGGGGGGGGGGGGGTTTCAACTCCTCTTCCCTCCATCCCAAACACAAGCTTTGCCTTTAGTTCCAGTTTGGCCTCCCATGCACATTGAGATGGAGGTTGTTCTGGTCTCCTCCTGCAGGAAAGGCTTCAGCTTTCATTTCTGGGAATCTTACAATGGAGGATTACTCCGCCTGCACCCCAAAGTCAATCAATGGTCTCATTTCTGCCCCCCTGCTGAACAAACGGGGCCCCAGAAAGAGTTTTTGTTATGGTTGTTAGACACGGATTCAAAATCTCCTGCGCTGCCACTGAACTGTGTCAATCCAAAAATGAAAGATATAAACAAAACTTATCGCTTATCCAGCCTCAATATATTGATTTGATTGCGGTCATGTGATCCCGGCCCCTAATCATACAACCACCGCGCACCAACGTTACTTACACTAGATTGCCAAAAGTATCGGGCCGTCGGCCTTGGACGCGGGTCACATGGCCACCCTGCCCGGTCTGCGGTTGAGCATCCCCCATACATCCATTGTTTGCGCTTTCAATACATCAACATCAGAGACAACATGTTCCCTTGCTGCCTCTTTTATCCCGCCCACTTTCAGATGCCATGATAAGGAGATCATCCGTGTTATTGGCTTTACCTTTCCGTGGTTTCTACAATCAGAAAACCGCGACACGCCATCCTAGTATTTCAATCATTTTATTGGAGAACCAAAAACAAACAAAAAGTATGCTTTACAAGAAAATACATCCCCTACATGTATAATCAGAGTGAACTTACAGAAAAAGTGGTACAATCGTCTCATAATACTGTTCCGAGTTTGCGCTTTACTCCGAGGCTCCGCCTGGCCCCGCCCGGCCCCGCAGACACCCAATGCTGCCAGCAGGTGGAAGAATCGCTATATACAGGTCACCTTTGGCTTCCACACTTTTTTTTTTTTTTCCTTCTAAAACAGCTTGGACGCCGCGGGGCCGATTTTCTTCATTTATCAAAATTTAAAAAAATAAAAAGATCACAGGGTCACCCATTGTACACCGATCAAGGCACTGGAAACCTTCGACTTCTGAAAAATAAATAAGAATGAAAGTCCGACGACAAGGATCCATTGAAGGGTCATCTTTGTCTATGGAGAGACGCGGCGTGCTCGGGGACGGATCAATCGACCACGGCTTACGGATACTGAGAGTTTGCAAATGTTTCTTCACTTGTCACGGGGGGGGGGGGGGGGGGGGGGGGGGCAGGGAAAACATGTTATATATAGGGTTCCTTATGTATTTTATTCCAATAGGCCCACACAGGCTGCGGGAGAAAACGTTGAGATGGGTCTTGTTGGCTTGGGGGTGGAGCTACAGCTAACCATGGAATGTATGATCGCCACACACTTCCAAGTTTTGTGAATTATGGAACCAGGGGCCGACCGACAACTTATGGGGCCCCCGGGACAATTCATGGGGCCCCTGTGTTCTCACCCACACCCAAAAAAAGCTTCTGAAAGGTACCAGGGGCATCTCATGGGGCCCCCTACTGACTCTGGTGCCCTCGGGCAGTGGCCAAGTTCCCAAATGGTCAGTCCACCCCTGTATGTAACCCATTTAAAGTGTCTCAAAGCATAAGAAAAATTTGTTTTCTTTTCAAGTTTATTTCCCCCCCCCACACACACTTTATTTTTACTTGGTGATCCTGCCAGAAAAACACACTTCCGGTCCTAGGGTGACAACACTCACTCCCTTTGTTTCTAAGGGGGAGAAGAGTTGTCACCCTAGGACATGAAGTGGGGTTAGCAACTCTTTTCATCTGCAATACATAAATGGGAGGTGTTCTGTCTTCCTCATA